CGTGCCCCTGTCTGCACGAATCCTCTCTGGACATCCACCTATACCTGAAACTGTTTTGATAAAGTAACTTGCAACTACTTTAGGATCACTGTTTGTGGTATAGGCCTCCATCCATAACACATAGCGGCTAAAACCATCTATACAGCCGGTGATGGCAATGCCATAGGGCTTTAGTTTATCATAACCATCCATGTGCCAAAGTGCATTTGCATCTGTACTGACGTCTTCTCAAGCGGTGGGCTCGTCTTAATTCCACACCTTGTGGATCAACCAGTTTGATGATGCGTCTTATGCTATCTTGTGACACAACAAGGCCCTGTTGAATTGCACGGAGATGAAGCCAACGGTATCCCTGCATCTATCCATTGGTCATGATCTCATGCTGTACAAAAGCTAGCACTTCCTCCAAGTCAGACTGGTTCTTCCTCCTGAACAGGTTAAGTCTTTTACAAATTCTCTTTAATGTTCGGACACTAATTACAATGTGATTGGTGTGTGCCAAAATAGCAAGTATTTCTTTGTTACTTAGGGAAAGTCTGAAGTATAGTTTAATTAAGTCATCCAAATCCGGCTCTGCAGGCATTGTTGTGAGCAGCGCAGCAAACTGATGTAATGCAGAATATAAAGAGGACAATTTGGTATTCGTAGGAGGGGTTGTAATATGGCAGTTGAAGTTGAATTCTACATCAGACAATAACGTTGCTTTTAATCTGCAAAAAAGAAAAGAAAATACATTGTTTAAATATTGTAAGGTTAAGACTCTTCTTCCTATTTTACACAGTATATGCTCAGTAAAAGTGTCCATTACGGAGTACGGATCTTATTTATCAGGAACACTTTATATGCAGGAACACAAATCCTACCTTTAATTTAAAGCCAGAAAGTGTTAAACACTCTTACTGTTAACCTCACTAACTTGTTTCATAAAATGCGTATTTTATGAAACAAGTCTAGAATGGAGTAAGACAGTTGTGGTTGTGGACCACAACTATCTTAGTCCATTCTAGACGAGATGATGTTTGAGATGTTGATCATTTTGATGGTTAATAGCCTTCTGATTGTCAGCTAGCTGCTAGCTGCCTTGTTAAACACACTTAATGAAATCTCTACATAAACATAAAAACCACCAGGCTGTTGCTCTTGGTTAGTCGCCACTGTTCCAACAAGCACAAACTTGCGTGTCAACGAACTAAACCATTATTTACTGAATTAGATGGGGGGGGGGAGCCATAGCATATAAACTAATGCACTTCTCCCAAAGAAAATATTTTTTTTTTGTTCGCAGAATTCTGAGATTAAAGTCAGAATTCTGAGAAAAAAGTCAGAATTCTGAGATTAAAGTCAGAATTCTGAGATGAAAGTCAGAATTCTACGGAGCCCCCTAGGGGAAATGGAGAAGAAAAAAAAAATTATTTTAAAAAAGAAAAAATGTTTTGCGAGATATCGCAATACTTTTGCGAGATCTCGCAAAACCCCGTTGCAGTTTGTAGCACTCCTCTCCCTCCTCAAGCTGCAGATTGTGACCAATTCTTGATGTTTAGCTCGGATGACGGCGCGTATCGAACTGTTCTGATAGAAACGACTCTGTAGCTCGTTGTCTACCTTGCTATGATTGTTTGTATTTTTACAACGTTATGTTCATGAGTTATTGATCCGCGAAATTCGAATCTGTCAATAACTCAGCTCAGAGGGACGTGCATGTCCCCTTGCTCTGAGTATTCTCTTGAGGTGTCTTCACTTATGTGAAATCCTTTATATATACAGTCTATGTGTGAAACCCGTGCCTATTGCCAAGCACTGATGTTATATCTTTATATTTAAGGCCAAGCTCAAAGTAAAATCGATGAACCGCTCCATTGTTGTGGTTTCTGTGTTGCCGTAGCAGCCGAACTGACCAGGAAGTACATTGAGCTAAATGAAAAGTATTGCGATATCTCGCAAAAGTATTGCGAGATCTCGCAAAGGTTTTGCGAGATCTCGCAAAACATTATTTTATTTTTTTTCAAATACATTTTTGTCTTCTTCTCCATGTCCCCTAGGGGGCTCTGTAGAATTCTGACTTTTTTCTCTCAAAAAAATAAATGTTTTTTTGTTCTGAGAAAAAAGTCAGAATTCTGAGATTAAAATCAGAATTCTGAGACAAAAGTCAGAATTCTGAGATTAAAGTCAGAATTCTGACTTTTTTCTCAGAACAAAAAAAAAACATTTTTTTTTCAAATCCTCCCAAAAAAATTATTCATGTGGCCCTAATCCTCTTCCGTAATTATTCAATGTGTGCGGCAAAAAAATAATCACCATAGAGTGGCAAAGTCCCTCCCCTTCCGGGGGAGCTCCATGGGACCTTATTTCGGGAAAATTATGTATTGAAGCCAATGGAGAGAGAAAGATTATCTTTCGATCCTGTTTGAATTGTACCACAAATTACACATATGATGTTTGTCAATTTAAAAGATAATTTTGCAAGTCAAACAAATAAAAATATGTCGTAAAACTGTGAAGTAACACATTTGTTTGTGTGAAACACAACTACATATCTGGTCTTGCAGACTCTCACAACAACACACGTCACCAAGATGGCCGTCACTACTGTCTTGTCAAAAAAGTGATTGACGATCACTATCAACACGTCCAGAATAATGTCATGCAAAGCTGCCTGCCTGCCTTCCTTTGATTCTCTCTGAACTGCCTGATCTTTTTAATGTTTAATCTCAACCATTTGTGCAGATAACATGAAGTAGAACAGATCGCCGATGCTAATGTAGCGTTAGCGTTAGCATTTCTCCCCCGGGCTTAAATGGTGTATTATAGAATGATCACCCCGCTGTGACAGTACTCTTCAAAGGGTTCACGAAAAATGACTACTACTCTTACTGTTTAACATTTTGGGTTACTTGATGTTACTTGATGTTAAGGCTAATAAAAATGACAAGGCTAAGACTGTAATGCTAACTAACGTGCTTGCTACTAGCTAGGTAGCTAACTTGATCCAGCCAATCCTGGTCCTTTCATCAGACAGGAAGCGAAAGAACGAGCAAGGCCCATTGCTGGTATGATAACAACCTGGTTGCCTACTAAGCACACAGGCATCTTGTTAAAGTTATCTTATTTTAGCTATCTCTTATATTTAGCCGAGGAAAACAATTGTGACATCAGTTATGACATGACTCTGGGAGTTGTAGTCTTTCTAGTTGCGTATTTTTCATAGTCTTTTATTTCAACAGTTTTACAACAAACTGTGACTTTTTTGACATGGAAATGATTTTTTAAGATTGACAAACATCATATGTGTAATTCATGGCACAATTTAAACGGGATCGAAAGATATTTTCTCTCTCCATTCACTTCAATACATAATTTTTCCGAAATAAGGTCCCTTGGACCGGAAGTAGATGGGCGTGACTTCGCCACTCTATAGAGCGGCAAAGTCACTCTTTTTTTTCTCCTTTATTCAATAACATGTAGCCTACATGTGCTGTTGTATTTGCTGTAAAGTGTCTCTACTGTAGGCTAATTTTATTATATGTAGGCCTACAGCACTTTGGCTCGACCAAAAATCGTTTATAAATGTGCTATATAAATAAAACTTAATTTGATTTGATTTGACATGTACACACAGAAATAAATATAACAAAAATGGTGGGAAAAAAACAATGAAAACATTGGAGTTTCCAATCTCCAATGTGCAATGTGTGACGTCAATTTTGTTTTATCTCACCGGAAGTTACTTACTCATTACTCAGCAGATTGTTTCCCTCTTGTTCTGTCAGCATCACATGTGATGAAAGAAGGCTGCCGTTTAGTCAAAAGTAACGATTGCACTGTGGCTGCCTCGAGCTGTTGCTAGGCGACACGGTGCCCATGTCAAGTTCAGACAGAGCAGATAAATCTGAAATCCCGTTTGAACAAAAATTTCAAAATAAAAGTCGCATTCAGCTCTCCTAAAACTATTAAAATCGGTGTACTATATTATAAAACGGTGTGCTCACAAGTCACAACATTATTATATAGACCTTTGCAAAAAATACAAAACAGGTAGATTAGGCTACCCCCTACATTTTACTTTTATAAGAGCTACATTAAAGCAAGGACCTTCCAATTGTTACAATAAAAGGTCCCATAGTACTGTCAATGTGTTCCACCAATGATATGCGATATAAATTATGGATGGATGGTTTGTTAAAGTGCCACATTCAATTCAATGTATTGCCATTACAAAAACATAATGCCATCATTCCAAGAACTTGTAAATATGATGAATAGGCCTAGGCTATATATATTATATATCAATGTAAATGTCATGACAAATTGGCTATCTGTAACTCTCTGTACCCAATATACATCTGTCGACAGGGATATAATAACATCCCTTAATATGTATTCAGGCATATACAGTAGGCCTATGTTTCCCAGATGTCTAGACACAGCATTAGGCCTCTGTGAAATTGTAATTATTCCTCTGTGACACAAGTGCAATTTAGAAAAGCGACAGACTGTGGCGCCAGTGTCCCAGTTTAAGTGAAGGGTAAGCCTCAATCCAAGCAGAGGGTTCCGTCTCTCTGAAGTCATCAATGATACTGTAGTTGTATTACCTAGATTTACCTGCGTAAAATATTAGTGGTTTGGTGTCATTTTAGGACCAATTTTAGAACTTCCTGAACGTCTCCTTACCCACTGAGGTTGAATATATTGAATTAAGTGGTGAATCTAATTATTTATCACAGATGAGCATAGCAAATTGCGTGGTTTTATTTTTTGTTGCAGACTCAGCAGTCACACAAATACAAATACAAATAGTAAACTGTCTTTTTTAAATTTATTTTTGAATCATTCGCCAGCAAGTTCCAGAATAATTTGGTAATATTAAAATGATCCAAACCACAGTGGAAGACCTTGATGTCAATCCCTTTTGGAATTGGAGCTCGACATTTGAACACACCAGCTTCCCCCATTTTTAAATCCACCTGTTCACGCGCATTCCTGTGCACGCGGCAGCTGATAGGTGTGTGAGGAAGCCGAATTTTTGAAGAGCTCGTGCAGGGAGACACATCAGAGCTCCTCCCGCCGCTGCTGAATGGATTACCTTCAGTTCCACCTCTCCCGGATGCTTCTCAGCACACACTGCTAACCTCACTCTGCCTTCCCATGATTCCATGACCAGCGCGTGGACACTGCTCGCGGACCATGTCAGTGATTTGAGCCCCACTTTGACTCCCCATCCCCGCTGCTGCTGGCTGGACACACGGCTCTTCCTGCGGGGAGGTTTTCCTGCAACAATTTGTTTTCTGAGGGTCGAAATCATGGTGCCTGTACCGCATCGGCTCCAAATGGCACTGTGAGAACTTTCCTCCTCCTCCCCCCCACCCCTCCCCCTTATTTTTTTATTTTAGATGTTTGTCATTGGGATCGTGCTTCTTTGGGAAATTAGCCACCGTGTCCCCTTTCAATTATGTTCACTTTTGCTGCCTTCTGCTACATGCTGTCTCTGGTCCTCTGTGTGTCCCTGATCTTCTTTGCAATATGGCACGTAAGTACCTCAGCATGACTTTTGTTTGATGTCACCAGCTGATCGTATTGGATGCATGCTTTATATAAGTGCAGGTGTGATATGTGTGTGTAACAGTGCCACATAGTCCAGAGCCCTGGGCGTTTATTCATTCATTTCAAATGCATATGCTCCAGCCGTTACAAATGAAGGATATTTTTGGCTGATATTTCCTTTTAATATGACAGGGACACCTGTGTCTTCAACTCTTGCTCCATCATTCAGACGTGCATCCATCTTTTCCCCCAATTTGTCCCAATTTTACCCTTTTTCTAATCTTCATTCATGCTGACCCAATTTCATATGCGGAAAGGCTTGTCATAGATACATTAAATGGCCTTCCTTCTATATCATTTACAAAATCTAATACTGTTACCCCCAGCCCCCCCTATAATTTCTCTGCTCTGCTTCCTCTGCCTTTAATCAAACCTCGGCTGAGCTGCTCACCAGTGTCAGTGTGACTGACTGCGTTATTATATTTGAATATTCTAATTATTTGCTCGAGGAGCGACATCTCCATCATGCAGAGCCTTATGTAAAGACAGATTTGGGTCAGGTCTTACAGCCTACAGCCTATTGCCCCCCAATCTGCCTTTGGCACGGAAACAGAAACAGACCTGATGCACTTGGGATGAATGATCCTCCGGCAATTACAGCTAATAGTCGGTCAGACTGTCTGTCAGACAGTGGCCCATGTGTTTGTTTACAGAGCAGAAATAAAGAGGCCAGGACAGTGAGAGGGCATGCAACCATGGAAGAACAGACACAACTGAGATATCATGCAAAAATATATAACCCTTTAATGCTAAACTGATGAGGAAAGACCTCGCCGACTTGCTATAGATAGACAGAAACCCCTTCTATTCTGCATTTTATGTAAAATGCAGCACTAGTGGAAGGATCACAATGAAACACATTATGCTGTAGGTTCAGCAATAATCCATCGCACCAAGCTTCATTTTGCATTCTGCTTAAGACAGCAGAAACGGTCGAGATGCCTCCACAGATGATTCCCAGTTGCGTTGACGTACAGACGCGCAGAATAATAAGCTGGTGCTCCGTACCGCGAGGGAAAGTCATTACGAAGAGGTGGAGGTGAGAACGCATGGAGCTGTGGAGGAACCGAGGCTGCACATTAACACCAGACACCTGCCAACTGCTGGGGAGAGGCTGGCGGTTACTCTTTCACTTCTATCAGCCACTTTGGCAGGTAGCCATCTCTCCGTCAGTGATTTTCTTTCTTGGATTTCACAATCTCACCTAGTTTCAAAACCACTGCTGCCTGGACAAAAGGTTAGATTGGAATGCCTTGAGCTGCTGTGCATTGCTTAAAAGAGCAAGTGTGCTGAGTCCAACTACCCAGGGTAAAATCAAGCTGTAAATATAGTGAGTCAGGGTAAGGGAACATAAAAAGACAGAGGCAATGAAACAGGCCAAATTGAAAAGACAAAATTAGTAATGAACTGCAATGACTCAAAACATATTACCAGTCCGGTCGGCAGGTAACATGAGCGGCTGATTCATGGAAGTCAGGGAATGACAAATGACCGCACACAGTCAGACTTCTGTCTAATTAGCCACAATCAATCAAACCATATACTGCCAACACAATTAGCTTGTTATCTACTCCTCCACTCATTTTCAGGTAATGATCAATGTGACGTAAATGTATTTTGAAGTAGGAAACACATTGAGTCCTCTTCCGTCCCCTTTACACTCACATGAGGCTATTTAGCGAGACACCTGTAAGACAAATAAAGGAGTAGTCAGGATTATTTTGGCATATTTCAAGACGGATCCCACACTTTAGTGGTTTCAGACCCCTTTTTTATGTAGGCCTATGTACTATTAAATGCCGTCAACGTTAAAAAGATAACGCTTGAGATAATCTGAAAACGATCAAGCGTTACGAAATCAACACAAACTAATCATATTGCCAAGTTGACCCGAAGTTGTTCCCATAATACCACCACGGATGTTTCCCATTTTTATTGCATGGCCGTGAAAAGGGTGGAATTGGCCAAAAAGACATGTGTTGAACTGACTGGAGCCGTCTTTACATCAGTTAGAACCATCACTACCTCGTTGTAACGGCACACCTGCAACCGTTCGCTTTAGTTGTGAAAACAGATAAAAATGCATTTTTCTGAACCATGCGGCAGTTTCTTGAAGTTCCTCAGGAGTGTGAGATAGAGGACAAAAACCTCCCTTAAGGAACAGATAGTAGTTACAGTATGATAGCAGCAGAAAGAATGCCCTATGTAAGGGTGTGACACATTATACAGAGGGGTATCACTGTTCGTGACAGTGGCTTTCTCCATGCTTGGTTGGAAAATTGTCTGACTTTGTGGCATACATTTCGAAAGCAGGTTATAATAAATATGCAACAAAGGCTATACTTGTTTATTCCCCCCCCTCCCCCCCAAAAAAAAAAGAAGTCAAAACTAGTATTGCATCTTGAGATCAATCATGATCAATCACAGATTATTATTGTGATTAACTTGATTAGACTTTTGAAATTGATTGACAGCACCAATACTGTTATATAAATAAAAGGGGGCTGGCATATTAAATATATATATTTTCAGAGCAATTGACTGAAACTAATGATGATGCAGGAGAACTGGATCTGGTGTCTCACAAACTGAAGGTTTTAATTTAAAGGCAAACAAACGTAACAAATAGGGGAATACAAGTATGGAGTCACATGTGCCAATATATATTCTTCCAACAGCTTTTCGGGTCTTCATATTTACCAAATTCTTGACCTGGTCATGAACATATTTGCAAAAAACAGAGGCAACACCAAAAGATTAAGATGGATGTCATCTCCCTGGTGTGACCTAGCGAAGACCTACCCTAAATGATTTCTAATAAATCAAAAAATATGCTTAAAATCTGATTTGTGAATATATACATTTAGGTATAGTAGTAGATAGGGATTAGCGAAAAGATTACGTGGCACTTGAAGGTGACAACAATTAAATATGACATGCCTATGGATAATTAGCATGTGCCAGTATTCTCCCTGTGGGATATAATGATGATCCACTTCAGAAAAGATACAGCAGTTGTCAGAATCATCCTGTTCATCAAATGAAGTTCAACAGCACCGTCACCCATGGGAGCACTCACGTAAGCGATTACGAAGGCATTTTAATTAACATACAAGGTGAACTGTGACCCCCCCTGAGCTCTCCGGCTCATCGCTAAGACACTCGCACTCTGCTTGAGTGATTCTCCTCCCTTGGAACCGCGGCCCCTAATGTGCTCTAAGTGTCATTAAAGCTGGGAGCGAGCCACACACTCCACCGATGCTCCTCGGATGGATGGGAAAGCCCCGCGGTGCCAATATGATGCAGAGGTTGTTCTGGCAGCGAGACAGAGGGCAGAATGTCAAAGAATCAGTTATGCTCCCAGATGGGCTTTCCATTATACTGCAGCAATGGCATGGAATGGGCAGTAGGATTTGAAAGCATGATTTGTATTGATAATGCTGATTCGCTTATATGCATGCTAACGAATGTGACCGTTAGCTTAGCTCTCCTGAGGTCCGTAACAGGTTGGCACACAAACCCTGTAACAACAAACGTTCTTAAACTTTGGTTTTAAATGAGAAAGAAATGTTTTTAACAACGTTTTTAATATACTGTAGGCATTTATTAAGTTTGCTGTTGTCTTTAATTGTGCGTAAAATGATAACAAGTTAAGATCTGATTGAGCTAACTAAGTCAAGCTAACCGTCGCTGGTATCTAGCTTTGTCACATGACGGTGGCAAGAAAGCTGAATGTATTACACACAAAATCAAACTTCATTATTCAAGCAATTGGTTATAACCTAAACATCTTTATGAAATTGGTGCCCTTTAAGAAAAAATAGTATAGTCACTTTATTTTAATACTTTTTTTTGTTATAGGGAAGTAAAAAGGCAGTAAAAGTATCAGTACTGGAGATACTAGTATTTGTTAATTTATTTGATCAAATAAACACACTTGTGGTGTTGTGATAAATAAATGCATGACAAACTGTAAAGAGAAACCAAAGGGTTGTCATCAACATCATTTCTGAATTATTGGCATGAAGTCCCACAATTGTCTGACACTTAGCTAAAGCATCAACAAAGCCGCTGTCTCTGAGAGCTGCGATGATAATTTGTGATACACAGGGCAAATTATCTCTACCACTATCATACATAGGATTATCCACTTTAAGAAACTGACTAGCACATGGTTCGGCAAAATGCCTTTCTTTTGTTTTCAGCGAATGTGTACAGTTGTGCCGTAAAAGCAATTTTCTTACTGATGTTGAGTGGTCTCCAGTCAGTGCAATGCAGTGGCGAGCCGTCAGGGCCCTCTAGGCCCTCTGTGAGGGCCTAAGATATTCTAAAAAATAATATTTGAAAACATAAAAAAAAAAAAAAAAGATTAAATATGATTTTTTATATTTTGTTGTTGTTACATTTTTCATTAGTTTTACCAAAATAACTTGATTTAATTGTATTTAAAATAATATTTCCAAAGAAATAAATCCTTCAAATCGGCCTGTTCAGTTTCTGTTGGAATGTGAAGGGTTAAATGTCGTCTCTGCGAGTTATATGAAGACGGGAGAGCTTGTTGGTCCCTCTCTACATTCACAGAGGGCCCGCTATAGTAACTCAACGAGAGAGTAATGTCAAATGACAGTACAATTGACCAATTATATCTTCCCTCTAAATGGGCGGGCTTTATTTCCGCGGACTTTATGACAAGTTCCGCCCGCTGTGAGGTCTATGCAAGTGGTGCAGTGACGCATCCTAAAACCCGGAAGTAAGCTGCGCTCGGATTCTCTCAACAGAAAGCAGTGGGATTTCTCCATAGGATTTTGGAAAATAGCTTGAAATAAGGTCCGTGGAAAACGAACCTGTTAGATAAATGCACGTTTTGTTCAGCCGGATAATATCCACATGTCTACCCTACTTTTATTATTTTCGAATCATAAATCT